GAAGACGTGTGTGGGTGTGAGAGTGTGTGTGGTGCCGGGCACTGAACCCTGGGGCCTTCGCTCCGAGCTACGCCTGTTGCCCTTTTTTCTTGTTTTCTTTCTTTTTTTCTTTTTTGGCGGAACCGGCCGCAGGCCCTTGCGCTTGCCGGGAAAGCTTATTGTACTGAGCCATCTCCCAGGCCCCTTGTTTTCATTTTTGAGGCATGTCACTAAGTGGCAAATTCCCCCAAGCTGGGCGCACACTGCGACCCTCCTGCCTCAGCTTCGCGGTACGTTGAAGCGTGCACCGCAGAGGGCAGTGGCCAAACCTGCAGAGGGAGGAAGGAGTGCTGGAAGAGGAAGGCCTCTTGCTGACTGGTCAGGAAAGAGTGATGTGGAGAAAGCACTGTCACAGTGGGTGTGTGACAGGAAGAGCTTGGGCGGTGCTCTCAGGCTTCCCTTAAGAGATGAGAAACTCGGATCTTCTTTTCCCCTCAGATTTGACAGTTCTGAAAATTTACGTATCCTTTTCAGTCCATGACTTTTGAGGCTGGAAGAAACTTCATTAAACTTTTAAAAATAAAAGTTTGCCAGCATGGCAAAAGAAAAACTATTGTCTTCCTCTATTTGATATGGAAGACAGTGTTACAAAATGTCTTGTGAAGAACCAGAGTTTTCAGATAGAAGTGGAGGGGGAACACGTTGTGCAGTAAGTGCCCAATTTATGGAGCTCCAATGCAGGAGAACTCGCACGAGATTACACACCTTTGACACAAAGACGCAGTTATATCGCATACACCACGCGTGTGGGCCATTCCGATCTCTGAATGTTTACAACTTGAATGGTGGTGAGTTAGGGACTTATTTTCTCATTCCAAAGAAACCCTTGAGCGGGCACAATCCCTGCGTGAGGGAGGCTGAGACAAGAGGATTACGATTTTAAGTCCCATCTGGGCAATTTAGTGTGGCTCTGTGTCAGAAAAAGGGCTCTGGCCCGGTATGGTGGCACACCTGTAATCTCAGCACTCAGGAGGACCCTTGTGAGTTTGAAACCAGCCTAGGCTACAAAGTGAGTTCAGCGTCAGCCTGAACTGCATAGTGAAACCTTATCTCAAAAGGCTCCCCCCCCCAAAAAAAAAAAAAAAGAAGAACAAAAAGAGAAGAAGGAAGGAAGGAAGGAAGGAAGGAAGGAAGGAAGGAAGGAAGGAAGGAAAGGGGCTCTGGTGTAGCTCAGTGGTAAAGCTCCTGGCTTCAGTCCCCTGTACTCCAAGAAAAGAAAAAATACAGTGCTTGGCGGGGGAGGGAGGGTGGGCGCGGAGCTGAGCGTGCGCAAGGCTGGGTTCAATTCCCAGCACCATCAAAAAAAGAAAACTACTTGTTTTCAAACCTGATCTTGTATTTTTCCGAAAGAAGCAACCCCAGCATTGGATGAGGTTTGGGTTCCCTCAAATCTGTGTGCACTCCTGCCTGCGCAGCTGTTTCCGAGCCAGGGGCTAAGCACCTTCTTCCGGAAGAGGCCGGAAGGGAGCTCTCCGGGAAGCAGGCGCTGCCCCTGCAGGCTCGGGCGCCGCCCGCCTCACCTCCGCGCCTCTCCGCCGCTCCAGGTCTGCTCGTGGGCACCCTGGACGTGGTGCTGGACTCCAGCGCCCGCGTGGCTCCTTACCGCATCCTTCACCAGACCCAGGACTCGCAGGTCTACTGGACCGTGGCGTGCGGTAGGTGTTGTCCGAGCCTTCCCGGGAGGGCCAGGGAACGCAGCCACAGGCGTGGCCGGGCTTCGTGGGTGCGCACCGTGCCGCGCTCTCCCCAGGTGGACGCTGGAGCTTCACCACGCAAGGATTCGTGTGTTCCGGTTTGCCCACTGGCCTGCTTGTGTGTCTGTTACGGCACCGAGGTCCTTCCCCGCCCGCAGGTCTGCTTCAGTGTTTCAGGACAAGCGCAGGCGTCCTCCTCATGGCCCCCTTGGGGCAGATCAGAGTTCTATCTTTGTGCTTTAGTGATGACTTCACTAAAGTGATCCCCAAGCAAGCCCTGAAACACTGAGTGTGCCTGAGCGCAGGGAGACTTAAGCTTCGCTCAGGATAGGAGCAGTAGCACAAGCACTCTGGGAAGCTGAGGCAGGAAGGTCACAAGTTTGAGTCCGGATTTGGCAGGCTAGCAAGACCTTATCTCACTGGGCATGGTGTCACACCAGCGCTTCAGAGGTTGAGGCAGGAGGATGGCCACAAGTTTGAGGCCAGCTTGGACTACATTGTGAGTTCAAGGCCAGCCTAAGCTATATAGCAAGACCCTGTCTCAAAAAAATAAACAACCCCCTCCAGACATTCTCTCAAAATATTTTAAAATGGGTTAGGGATGTAGCCTGTTTCATTGTCTTCAGTTTAATCCTCAGAACAAAACAAAGACAGACGTACACAATAAAGTTATGTGTTGACAGCGTAATGAAAACATTGGGGCTGGCCAGATAGCTTAGCAGATACAGGGGCTGGAGTTCAATCCCCAGCATGCCGTGTGGTCCCTGCTCCTGGGGTGCACTGAGACAGTGATTGAGACTGGGCATGGTAGTGTGTGTGTGCACTTGGGAGGCTGAAAACAGGAGGATCACTGTGAGTCGGATCTGTGTAGTGAGACCCTGTAGACCCTGTACTAAATACATAAGAAAAGAGGCTGGGGACTGGAGGGTGTAGGAACCTAACTAAGCCTGTATTTCTGCCACGGCAGTGATTCTGCCTTCCCTGATTGAGCGTCAGGACCAAACTGTACTCCCTAGGTTGGCCAGAGGAAGCAGCCAGCTATAGGGGAAGCCTCCTAAAGGCCTTGCACAGCAGCGCTCCAAAAAGTGCTCCCTTCAGGAACCTCCAGAGAGGTCCTTGGTCCTCTGCTTCGAAGGTGAGGAGGCCGTAGCCCCAGGGGACTAAGTCACCTGTGGAGTCCCCAGAGCTGCAGCACCTGCTGCCTGCTGTGAGCTGGAGGCCTCTGATCCTGCCTAGTACCCCAGAGCTCAGGCATCCTCTTGCTGGGCAGGTGATGAGGCTGCTCCCCAGCTTGGGCTGCACAGCCTGCTGTTGGAGTGGGCACCCTCTGACCTCCCAGCAGTGAGCTGTGAGATTGGGCAGATGGAGCAGGGTTCATCCTAGAGCCAGAGTGGAGGGCTGTAGGTTGGTGTCTTTTTTCCCCCCTTCTCATTTTGTCTGTCTGTCCATCTGTCTATCTGTCTTTCTTGTGCTGGGGTTTACGAGTTTCAGACCATCCTGAGCTACAAAGTGAGCTCAAGGCCAGCCTGAATTGGATTGCAAGGCCCTGTCCCAAAAGAAAAAAGAAAAAAACAAAAGAAAAAGGGAGACTGGAGAGATAGCTCTGCAGTCAAGCACCTGCCTTGCAGGCTCAAGGCCGAGGTTCAATCCCTGGTACCACATGCAGTGCTGCCCCAGAACCCGGGGTGCACCATGCTGGCCACCAAAACCAGACATGGTGGCATATGCCTGTAATCTCAGTGCTGGGGGAAGTGAAACAGCATCACTAGGGTCTGAGCTGCATAGCAAGACCCTCTGCCAAATGAACAGATAGATAAATAGTTTAAAAATTATTTTAAGAAAAGAAAAAGGTCTTGGGGGATTTTTGTTTGTTTTTGTTTGGTTTTGTTTTTGAGACAGGGACTTGTTATAGCTCAGGCTGGCCTTCAACTCACAGTGTGTTCCAGGCTGGCCTCAAACTTGTAGGCTCCTTCTGCCTCAGCCTCTGAAGTGCTAGTGTGCCACCAGCCTTTGCGTTGAGCTACATCCCACCCCTGACCCTTTTTGTTTTTTGAGGCAGGGTCTCACTAAATCCTTAATTGCCCAGGTTGGGCTGGAACTTGCCATCCTCCTGCCTCCACCTCCCAGAATGCCGAGATCGTGGGTGTGTGCCACCGCAGAGCCCACTGAGAGGGGCTGTGTTAAAGCCAGCCTTCAGCCCCTACCTCCAACCCCACCCTTACCTTCCACAGACTGCAGCCCACGCTGGCATCTGCCCACACCCTAACTCTCTCTGGGCTGGGCCCCCAAAGCAGCTCCCCAGAAACCAGAGGTCCTGCCAGCACTGCCCAGTCATCACATTAAGTGTCTCGGCTGTTGTTGGAGGGACCACCACCTGCACTGCCGCCTCTTCTCCCCAACTCATACCCTGTGCAGACAAGCCACACACTGCAGGACCTGCATTTCCTGCCTGCACCCTCCCAGGAGGGGTGCGTGGTCCCTGCGTGGCCTTCCTCAGACACCTTCGCCCCTTTCTCCAGCAGCGTGCGCACACGCAAGTCTCTCCCTGAGGCTGGAAGCTGCCAAGGGCAAGGGCAGGCTCTGCCAGGCGGCCAGGCAGGGATTCCGGTTTGGTTGCACTCTGCTGTATGACCCTGGATGATGGATGTAGACCCTGTCCCAGCCTCATCCTGGACAGTGAAAGTGATGGTTCTGTCTCCAAGGATTAAAATAATCCATGAGACCCTCTGAAAAGAAGCGTGGCAGTTAGTAACCTAGTACCCTTTGTGTTCCCACTACCTAACAGATGGCATAGGGTTTTTTCCCTTTTTGAAACAGGGTCTCACTGTGCAGTTCAGGCTGGCCTTGAGCTTACTTTGTAGCCCAGGCTGATCTGGAACTCAGTGATCCTCTTGCCTCAGCCTCCTGAGTGCTGGGATTACAGGCGTGTGCCATAACACCCAGCTGGCATAGGTTAATATTAAATGAAGATTAAGTTACTCTTAATAATTCTTGTAAATATACATACATAAGCATGTTTCTGGCATAAACATTTATAATTAAAATACAGCAGATGTAAACAGCAAAAGAAGGTTTCTTCTGTTTAGATTGGCAGACAAATATATAAAAGAAAATGACACGGTAGAGCTGTGTCACGTGTGCATTTAACTTCTGAATTCAATTTGTGGCTTCTGGCAAAAAGACAGAGATAGAAATTCCCCTGTCAGCTAGACCTTGGTCTCAGTGCAGCAGAGTTAAAAGGCTATTTTAAAAAGGTGGAAAATAAAAATAAATTGATCATTGAAGAGATTTCCTGGGAAAATTTTTTTTTCAGTACTGGAGACTCAGGGCTGTTCTACCACTAAGCTATGTCCCCAACCCTTTTTAGTTTTATCTTGAGACAAGATCTGAGTTGCCCCGGTGACACTTGAGCTTGGAATCCTCTTGCCACAGCCTCCCAGAGTACTGGAGTCACAGGCCTGTGTCATCAGGCCTGGCTTCCAGGGAGAGTCTGACTGCCTATGGTGACTTTCTATGTCATTGTGGGGCAATCATTTTCATGTGGCCATCCTCCTATGGCTCCTGTGGGGATGGCCTTTCCTATGCAATTGCTTAGTGGGCTGGCCAGCCACTTGAGCAGATAAGAAGACCAAGACCAGCCAGGCTGTGACCACGTGACAAGCAGCGCCAATGGCCAGAGAGGCGGCTGTGGCCAAGGCCAGCCACGGAAGGGTCAGCACCTAACTGGTACAAGCGTTGCCATACCAGGTGGCCAGAGATTGGGTGCCTGGCGAGAATGCCTACTTCAAGGCTGTGGGTGGGGCTTGGGTGGAGCATCTGCCTCAGCTACCTGAGGCCTGCGTTCTGTTCCTGCACCGCCAGAGAAGTCTGGTTCACAGCCCTATGTTCTGCATGTTTCTTGGCCAAGGCTGCCTGCACACCAAGTTCATGAATCTATGCATGCTGCGAGGGACAGCCGGGAAGGATGCAAGTTGTCCCCTCCTCTCACGCTCTTCATGGCAGATATAAGCAAATCCCCAAAAAGTACGATGTTGAGGGGGAAAAGGGCCAAGACAGGCAGGAAGCTTCGCTTATCTCCATTCAGCCTTTGCTTCTCTCCCAGCCCCTTGGTGGGTCTCCCTGTTGGGGACTGGCACTGCGCTGCCTTCTCGAAGTTTCTCCATCTCCTCTGGGCCTGGAGGGCCCTCTACAGAGGGGAGCAACTCAGCAGGGAAGTTGAGAGGGTGGCAGCTTCTGCCTGCCAGCAGTGCCCTGCTGCCCAGGAGCATGGCGCCCTGCAGGAGGCTTGGCTGGCCTCTGGCATGCAGCCTCCCAGGAGAGAGCTGGAGCCCCTTCTGCAGAGTCTGATGGTGGCAGGTTAGTCACCCGCGTGCTAAGGAACACCTGAGCTCTTTCAGCCGAAAGCAAAGCCTTGTTAGGTTAGCAGGCTTGCAGGTCTCCAGACTGCCCAGCGAGCGATAAACATCCCCCGTGGCATCAGGGAGGGATGGAGTCTCTGCCTCCCTCACAGCGCTGAGATTCTGCCTCCCTTTACTGGAACTGTTTTATTATTTATTTATTTACTTGTGTATTTGGTACAGGGTGTCACAGTGCAGCTCAGCCTCATGGTGACCCTTTTGTTTTCAGCCTCTCGAGCTCCAGGATTACAGGCGTGTGTCACCACACCTGGGCTCTGTGGCTGGCTCAGCCTCACCTGGGGTTGGCACTGGCATAGCATGTGGTGCCAGGGAGCAAACCCTGGTTCCTGTGCTTGCTTCCGCAGGCGCTTAGTCCCTGAGCTGCTGCTAACTTCTCACCGGCCCTCATTTTATTACTTTTGTTTTATACATATAAAGTTTAAGAAAAAGTATAGCCAGGCCTGAAGACACATACCTGTAATCCTTGCTACTCAGGAGGCTGAGGAGGGAGGATTGTGAGCTTCAGGCCATTCTGAGCAGTTCAGACCTTGCCGCACATCTAAAAAAAAAATAACAGGAGGAAATTCCTACACGGTTTAGGGAGCATGGTTTCACTGCAGGATAGGCCGCCCATCTCAATCCTTTCTTTCGTTTGTGTTTAAGACTTACTGGTTTCATGAATTTCCTTTATGTCACCAAACCCCTCATAGGTTCTTCCCGTAAGGAGATTACGAAGCACTGGGAATGGCTGGAAAGCAACTTGCTGCAGACACTATCCATCTTTGACAACGAGGAAGACATCACCACCTTTGTCAAGGGCAAGATCCACGTAAGGCTCCTCTGCCAGCCGTTCTCACTTCTCGGCCGGCATGTCCCATGCATTCAGCCGACTGCCGGCCACACAGTAGGGGGAAGAATCACATGTGTGCCGAACACTACAGACTACTTTCTTGTCATGATTCCCTGGACAGTATAGCGTGACAGCTGTTTCAATGGCATTTACATTACAGTATCGTGAATAACCTCACTGTGTATCGGTCACAACACAGACAGTACACTGTTTACAGAATGGACTTGATATCTGGGGGTTCTGGGACCTTTGGGGACCTAGAATCCGTCCCTGTGGACACCAGCAGACGACTGGAGAGTCTGCTCGTCTCGAAGCAGCACAGTACAGGCGTCACTCCCATTTTACAGGGATGGAAGCTGTAGTGTCCACTTGCTGTCTTAGAATTGGAAGGGGCAGTTCAGCTCATTCTCATTGCTGTGATTGGACCTAGAACGTCCCCAGGCCCCTCAATCTAGGCTTGATCCCCAGCCCTGGCTCTGGGAGAGGTGCAGGAGCTTTTGAGAAGGGCCACCAGGAAGGAGGGAGGTGGGGGTACCTTCCTCATGGAGGTCACAGGGCTGAGCCCTTGGAGGGACACTGGCCCAGCCCCTGGCTCTCTGCTCTCCACCTGCCATGATGTCAAGATCCTCTCTCCAGCCCATTCCCCACCACGAAGGCTGTACCGCCATGGGCCCGTAAAGCACAGGCTAGAATCAGCTCTTCCCTGTAAGTGAATATCTCCAGCACTTCTCAGAGTAGCAGAAGGTGGGCACAGGTCAGGCAGGCCTGCCCCTCCTGGCCAGCACCAGAGGCTGAAGCCTAGCTTAGAGTTTTTGTTCTTGGCAAGTAACTTAGATGGAGGTGTGTTTGCATCTAGGGCCTTTGCTAACAGGAAGAGGCGAGATGTGAAAGGCCATGATAAAGGAATGTTTTATTCTAAAACTAACATGGTTTTAATTTTTGTTTTGTTTTTGAGAGGATCTCACTTCTGCAGTTCAGGCTGGCCTTGAACTCACTGTGTAACCCAGGCTGGCCTCGAACTCAGTGATCCTCCTGCCTCTGCCTCCCAAGAGCTGGGATCGTAGCATGTGCCACCGGGCCCAGGGAAGACGCGTTATTTTGAAAGACACAGTCCCTTTCCCCGGCAGTTCTGTCCCTCAGCATGCACCCTCTAGTGTGCTCCCGTGCGTACTACTGCCACAGCTATGTCCAGGTGCTCGTTGCGGCTCTGTGTTAGCAGAACCCTGCCGAGCACGCCTCCGGCTCCCGTGGGGTGGGGCAGCAGCTGTTCTCAGCTCCAGAGCCAGCGCAGTCATGGCTGGCATGTGCTGCGTTCTCTGTCTGCTTGGTCTGCAGAATGCTTCATTTCCAGGGGACTTGTTAAGTTCTGTGAGGCATGCTTCCAAGAACGTACTGCAGACGCCAAAATGATGAAAATGGAGGCAGTGAGGCTGAGCAAGGATGAAAGACAGAAAGGCCAGAGCTCATCTGCAGTGCCGGGCCTGCGCGCTCTACCTCTAGTGGACAGAAGAGCCCAGAGCATTTGGCACACCTCACTTTCATGTACTTAGACACGGAGCAAGCAGTTAGGGTAACGGAAGAGTCAGCTGCCTCCTGCAATCTGTAGCATGTGCCCAGGTAAACAGCCGGGCTCCAGCTGTGGTGACACCTCCCTGGGACTTCCCACGGCAGCATGTTGCCAGAAGAGCACAGCCTACCGTTTTTCTCCTTTGTGCTCACAGAAGGTCAGCCGGGCCTCGATCCTCAGTACCTGATCTAGGTCTCCCCCTTTTTGCTTTTGTGATCACAGCAGTAGAAGCAAAGGGAAGTGCGGATGCCCACGTCTGTCCCCATATTGTCAGGCTCCTCCCCTGAGCTGGTCTGCAGACTGAGCAAAGCAAAGCAGTTCGGCAAACCCATCGAGAACCCAGCGGTCCTTACGTGCTGTGATATCATTATAGGCCTTCTGGGCAGGCCCTGCTGATGGACAAGTCTTTCTGCCCCTTCACTTTTGATCTGGGAGAAAGCTCTCACTGGTGAGAGCGGGGTCGCGTTCCTCCACCCGTTACATGCGGGGACTCCCCCGGGGTCGCATGACTCCTAGAGGCCCGCACACCCTCTGTGCACTTCCGGCCGAGCACAGCGAACAGGCCAGCAGATGACGGCCCCTCCATCTCCCCACCTCCAGGACCGAGTCACACCTGTGCTGCCTCTAGTTCCCATGCTCTTGTCCTTGTGATCTGTGGGATCCCACAGGGTGCTCTCTGTGTCACCAGCAGGCTTCAGGCCATGAGATGTAGACTTGCGAGATCACTGTGGGACTGCGACTCATCAAGCCTTATTCCCACTCTTTGTTCTTGTAATTGCCCTCGTGAAGTCAAATGTGTGCGTGCTGAACAATTGCTTGTCCTCAAGGATTGTAAGGAATTCCAGTAGGATGAATAGCACCCCACTGTTGTAACACTTTCTAAAAGCAGGCAGAGCCCAGGTGGGCGTGGGGCGTCCCATCGGCTGCGCAGCCTGAAGGCAGCTGTACTTGGCATTTCTAGGTGCCTGAAGCTTGGCTGCACCATCTCAGACTCAGGCTTGGAGAGCCACATCAGCGCTCAGAAGCCTTTGGATTCCGAAGCTTTGCAGTTTGTAGCATTTTAGGCCATGGCTGCTCACTCTGGACTTGTATATTTTTACCGTTGAAACGGAAATGAGTTTACTTAAAAGTCCCTCTCAGTCTGTGGCCAGACAGTCCAGGAGCTGCTTGTCCCTGCACAGCAACCCCTGTCCCCTGTGTGCCTCAGTGGCAGACCAGCCAGAGGGCCACCCCCTCCCCACCTGTGCTCTAGCCCTCGAGCCCAAATCCTAGGCGGCCTCCCTCCGTTCAGCCCTGTTTTCTCCCTGCAGGGCATCATTGCAGAGGAGAGCAAGAGCCTGCAGCCCCAGGGAGATGAGGACCCCGGGAAGTTCAAGGAGGCTGAGCTGAAGATGCGGAAGCAGTTTGGGATGCCAGAGGGCGAGAAGTTGGTCAACTACTACTCTTGCAGCTACTGGAAGGGCCGTGTGCCCCGGCAGGGCTGGCTCTACCTGACTGTCAACCACCTGTGTTTCTACTCCTTCCTGCTGGGCAAAGAAGGTGAGCACCACCAGGCCAGCGGGCAGCCAGGTACCCTGTCCCCTAGGCCCTGCGGTTCAGATGCATCCTGCAGTCGGGCTGGCTCCCACAAGCCTCTGCTACCCATGCCCTGGCTCCCCTGAGCTCCAGAAGGCCCGCTGCCTCTAGACTGCCAGCATGCTGTCAGTCTCCCTCTTCCCTGCCCACAGGTACCAATCCATACATAGCACATGGGGCTCCCTAAAACCCAGCTACCACCTTAGCAGCTCCCAGACTTGAGCCAGGTGTACACGTGCTCCCGTGTACAGCCCACCAGGAGGACCCCACGCTGTCACCTGCCGTGGGCCCCTCCCAGCAGGATGCAGGCTCACCTCTGCCCAGTGTCAGCTCCCTCTACTGCCTCTGCCACCCAGAAAGCACCCAAACCTCTAACTGTTGATCGCCTTTCACCACATCTCCCGATCAGAGTCCCCTGATGTCCCTGCCCTCACCACTTGTCAAGGCCAGGAGGACTTCTGGCAGGGCAGGTAACCTGCTCTGTGTGACTTGGCTCACACATTCGTGGACCTTCTCCGGGTCATTTTTGGGCCCAGTGCCCACTGACTGGCTGGCCTGAGAAGCAGTGGCCTGGCCAGTATGGGGCCTGGGCTGCTGCAGGGCCCTCAGGCATGGATCTCTCCATAGCGAGTTCGGGGCACAGGTGGAGTTGGGAGCCAAGCCTTGCCCAGTCTGTCTGGATTCTAGTGAGCCTTGTGGTGCAGTGGGTGGATGTCACACGGCTGGAGAAGAATGCCACGCTGCTTTTCCCTGAGAGCATCCGTGTGGACACCAGGGACAAGGAGCTCTTCTTCTCCATGTTCCTCAACATTGGCGAGACCTTCAAGCTCATGGAGCAGCTGGCCAACCTGGCCATGCGGCAGCTGCTGGACAGCGAGGGCTTCCTGGAGGACAAGGCTCTGCCCAGGCCTATCCGGCCACACAGGAATATCTCAGCTCTGAAGCGGTGTGTGACCCTGGGGGTGATGGGGACGGGCAGTGGGTGAGGGTGGTCCTGCCTAGGCCATGTCCACTGTGGAAAGAGGCAGGTGAATGGTTATTGTGCCATCACCCTGGGTGGCTGGGGGACACCGAGAGGCTAGTGATAGCCTGTGAGTCCTGCCAATGTGGAGCAAGCACCTTGCCTGGTGGTAGGAAAGTGCTCTCTGCATCCTGTCTCAGGCGAGGACATTGAGTCACAGAGCAGCGTAGCGCCAAGGCCTGGATGAGCCCTGTCAGGAGACCACAAGGCTGCATCCATAAGGCTGTGGTGAATAGGGCTTGGGTGTGCAGTCCTACCCTGCCACGGTACACCGTCTCCTTGAGACCCTGGGCCTCAGGATTGAAGCCAGCTGGAGATAGGCCATGCACAGACCTATGGTCGCTGCTGCCCTGGCCGAGGGGTTGGTGGAGTAGATTGTAGTGACCAGCACCTCCAGATCCCGTGTCTGCCCTCAAGGCTGGCTGAGAACTCAGGGTACACCCCACCAGATTCACACCTGGGCTGTAACCATGGGTTGTGCCGTCAGCCTGTGGTGCCCCTTCAGAACCAGCATGCTGTGTGGTTGTCTCCGTGTCCTACAGCGAGTGGTGGGGTAGCTTTTAGGGCTTTCCAGAGAAAACACCAGTAGGGCTGGAACTTGGCCCTGCCAGTGACCTACCTTGAGGTATATATCAGGCCCACATGGGCCAGGGCAACCCAGACAGCGAGGGCTCTCCTAGAACAAGGGTGTAAACCTCTTAGAGACCTAGTGCCAACTGCAACCCCAAACCCACTTATGTATCACAAAGTGCCAGTGCCTCAGTTAATATGCTCAATGCCTGAATAATGAGATTTCAGTTTAGAAAAATGCTCTGCACTGATGTTTTGTGTAAGATACAGTATGTGCAGTTTACCACTCAGCCCAAGGAAGTCAGGTCTGTGTGGGCAGGACATACAGGAAGGAGAGGGAGGTGCCGGAGCCCTGCATCACGTGGACAGAACCACTTCCACTTCCCTATCGGAAGCTCTCCTCTGTTTCCAGGCTGGGATTAGCTCTTCCCAGCGGGGAGCAGCAGCCTCGGGCCAGTGGCTTGTGTGGTCTAGGCCTTGCAGCATACAGGCCCTGAGTCGCCAGTTACGGCCTGCCCTTCGGTGCCAGAGGGCCAGCGTCTGGGTCCTTTCGGAGCAAACAGTCTCAAGACACCCTGGGTGCTGCCACTGCCCTGCTGGTCCTGTGCCTGTTCCCATGCGCCTTTTGTTGAGCTCAAACCCTGGCCACGGCCTACTACCTGGAGAATCCTGGGATCCTGAAGTCAGTGTGCAAGCTGAGCCTCCCCTCGAGGGCATGCACACTCCCACACAAGCCTCCTTTCCCACCTTGCTTCCTCAGAGACTTGGATGCCCGAGCCAAGAACGAGTGCTACCGGGCCACATTCCGGCTGCCCAGGGATGAGCGGCTGGATGGGCACACGGGCTGCACCCTGTGGACCCCATTCAACAAGCTGCATAACCCTGGCCAGATGTTCATCTCCAACAACTACATCTGCTTCGCCAGCAAGGGGGAAGATGCGTGCCACCTCATCATCCCTCTGAGGGAGGTGAGAAGCACAGGCTTGGCTCAGGCCCACTAGGCGCAGGGCTCCTGCCTTTCTCCAAGGCACCTCGCACACCCCCCTAAGCAGCCGTGCCCTTCCATCCTTTGGCGTAGGTAGGAGAGGAGCTGCCTGACCCTGAGCTCTTCCCTCTGTGGTGCTCCATGCGTGCTCCTCCAGAGCCATCCCTTCCTCTCCACGGCCTCCACCCAGGACACCTGTGTCTGCCTGGGCCATCAGGATGGTCCACAGTGACACATCCTCCCACAGCACCCAGGGAGCCTACAGCATCTGTCCAGGCAGTGAGACCCTGCCTAGGACCCTCCAGCGGGAGCAGTCACCAGCTACCTCCTGGGGCTTGTGCCCTCCACTCATGCACACCCATACCTGGCTTGCATGGTCATACGTAGCACACACACACACACACACACATACACTTATGCTTGCACACATGCACATAGATTCACACCATGAGTGCTATGCACTCGTCCAGAGCCTGTGTGAGCACTCAGGCATGCGCACGCACGCACACACACACACGGCACACATCCATGTCCTCCGTCTGCCCATGCCCCAGTGGGCTCAGCTGTGCTCTTGGAGGCACTGTTCTGAAGCGCTCTCAGGATAGGTGTTTAGGGAGGCCTGCTGTGAGGGCTTCAACAGAGGAGGAGGAGGCAGCCGCCCTTTGAGAAGCCTGCAGGACCCTCAGCTGGGCCAGGTATCTCCCGTGACCTCCTCCTAGGGCTCACAAGGCCAGTACTCACTGTCAGCAGGTGTGACATGCAGCTCCCACCACCAGGGTCTTGCCCAGAAAGTGGCAGAGTCAGGATGTGAATCTGTGTTTTGCCTACCTCACTGGGCCACTGTGGCCCTGTCACAGTCACAGAGCTGGGTGAGCTCCCACGCTCAGGCCTGAGTCTGTACTTGTGCCTCCTCAGGTGGCCATTGTGGAGAAGGCTGACAGCTCCAGTGTCCTGCCCAGCCCTCTCTCCATCAGCACCAAGAGTAAGATGACCTTCCTGTTCGCCAACCTGAAAGACCGTGACTTCCTGGTGCAGAGGATCTCGGACTTCCTTCAGAAGACTCCCTCCAAAGAGCAGGGGGGCAGCCTCGTGGGAAGGGGAGCCAGCGCTGCAGATGCAGCACCAGAGGTGAGGGCATCTGGGAGCAGGCCCAGGGCAGGCCAGCCGAGTTGAAGTGGTCAGTGGCTTCTCTGTGCTGCACGCAGGTTTGGGCTGGATCTGTGTGTGGGCCAGAGAGCTGAGTTCTGGGGCACCCCTGCATGGCTGCATCCCTCAGCGCCTCATCCACACTGTGGTCCCTGAGGACCTCCCGCCATCTGGGGAGCAGGGCTGGGTCACACATGGTCTCTGCCTCACTGCTCTTTCAGCCTGAGCTTCTGGTGGGAAGGCTTTTTATTTTCAGTGTTAGGACTGGCACTTGGGATCCTGGGGCACCGGGCAAGTGTTCTTCCCCTGGACTGTAGCCCCGGCTGAGACTCCTTTCAGGCATAACTGTAACATCATCATTATGCAGCAGGTTTAATAGTCATCCCTCAGTATCAGCCGTGCCTTGGTAACCAGAGGAGGCTGGATGTAGGACCCCTCTCTGCCAGAATCCATGGATGCTCAAGTTCGCTTAGGTGTTTAGTACAGGGTCTCACTACACAGCCTGGACTCAGTGATCCTCCTGTTTTCAGCTTCCCAAGTGCTGGAATTAAGGCATGTGCCACCACGCCCAGTCTCAGTCACTGTCTCAGTGTACCCTGGGGGCAGGGATGGGGGCATGCCTGGGGTGGAGCCCATCCCGGCATCTGCCTAAGGAGGCCCTTTAATCCACTGAGCTATATGGCAGGCCCTTGAGCTCCTTCAGAGACAGCGCATCCCCTGCATGCTTGGACTTCTCCAGATGACCTAGACACCTAACACAAGCAGATGCTGTGTAAATGCGCCTTTCGTGCTTTGGGCCATGCTGACAAGCAAATCTGCACGTCTTTACAGACGCAGCTTTCCCCTTCTGTACACGCTCTGCGTCCACTCGGTTGGGTCCGTAGCATAGAGGGCTGACTGTATTTAAATTTCCCCAAAGGCAAGTGTGTGTTTTTTGGTTTGGTCGTTTGATCGTAGTTGCTGACATTATGGGTTGGTGCCACCAGGCCCAGCAAGCTTTAAAGTAGCTTAAAAGATACACCTTTACTTAGTTAATAAAGCAGTGGAGGAGCTCATTCTACTCTCCATGCATCTTTTTGTTTTGGTTTGGTTTGAGACGTGGTCTTGCTATATAGCTCAGGCTGACCTTGAACCCAGGTTGGCCTTGCACTTAGAGCAGTCTGCCTGCCTCAGCCTCCCAAGTGCTGAGATTGCAGGCATTCATGGGAGACCACGGCAAGAAGATCCCCACAAGTCCAAGGCCATCCTGAGCTACAAAATGAGTTCAGAGCTAGCTTAAATTACGTAGTGAGACCCTGCCCCAACATATTTTTAATTTTTAAAAATCACTGTACAGGAAGGAGGAAAGGAGACAAAAAAGGACTGCTGAACATTTCCACATTGTTCATAGCAGGGAACTAGTGTTGTCTTGAAAGGTGGGGACTAAGGGATTGATAAAAAGATACTAACTTAGACCTAACATACAAATACATGACAGCTGTGGTGGCGTACATTTGTGATCCCAGCACTCGGGATCCCAAGGCAGGAGGATTCCTGTGAGTTTGGGGCTGGCCTGGGTTACATAGTAAGATCCTATCTCAAAAAAGCAAAACAAAGAAACATACATGTATGCCCATGTACACACACACATGTTTTCTGATAGACAGGAAGTAGCAGGGCAGAAGGATGCAGTGAGTCTACGATAGTACTTTAAGAAGTTCTGTATATGAGGGGTCAGCCAGATAGCTTAGTGGACTAAAGCGCCTGCTTAGGCAGAGCGTAGTGGCTGGAGTTCGATCCCCAGTCTGCTATGCCGGCCCCAGCCCCAGGCACACTGAACCGGCCACCCAGTCTGGGCATGGTGGCATACATCTGTAATCCCAGCCCCTGGGATGCTCAACACAGGCGGATCATTACAAGTCCGATCTGTGTGGTGGGACCCTGTAGACCCTGTACTAAAAAATACAAAAAAAAAAAAGGTCTGTGTATGGGTCAACAGAGGGCTGAGCAGTGTTAGCTTTCATCACTGGCCGGCTACCAGAGGTGTCAGCTTGTCTCAGTCTATGCGTTCTGTGGCCACCTGTCCCCAGCAGGACACCATGGCAGGAGCACATGGTGGAGCCCAGCTCTGCGCCTCCAGTGGCCAGCAATGGGGAAGGACTGGGTACCAGCCTCACAGTCAAGGGCACCCTCCCCCAGACCCTACCTCCTCAGGCCATGCCACCACCCCGCAGTGCCAGATTGGGGCCTGGCCTTGAGCACTGGGCCCCCAAGGCCAGGGTTAGTGTGTCCCTTCCAGCCACCTTTTGTGTGAGCAGCGCCCAGCTGAACACAGGAGCATGTTAAGGGTGTTGGCAGCAGGACTGCAGCTGAGAGAAAGGCTGGTGGGGATGGGAGGCTAGGGAGAGGCCCAGGGGGAGTGGGCACAGCAGCGGCAGAGACGCTCCGGCCGCAATCACAGAAGCAGGCAAGCGGCCTGTGGAGGCCTCAGTTGCTTCTGCTTGTGCTCTGCTTGCTTAGTGTGAGAGGAAGCAGAAAGTGAGAAAGGGCAAGTGGTTTTGAAAATTTGCTCTGGATAAATACATGAAAGGGCTATTGAGGGGGAACAGGACCCTGGGCAGCAGCATGAGTCCCCCAAGGCCAGTGAGCCTCAGTGAGGCGTACTCCATGGGGCCTCTGCAAAGGGCAGCCTGGCCCAGGCTGGATCTCAGGCTTGCAGGAAGCATGTCACACAGGAAGCTCATTCTGAAGTCCCTTTGCTTCCTTGGCACTGAGATTTCTGATCCTCAAAGATATTTTCTGCTGCCTGAGAGCTCATTTGTGTCCTGGACCCTTTTTTTCAGGGTGAAGGGATGCTGGGAGTAAATCCAGGCCTTGCACACGAGAGGGCAGTGCTCTGCCCCCAGATGTGTTTTCAGCCTCCAGGTCCTTTTGGGAAGCTCGGGCAGGAAGGAGCGTCACCGTGGGCACACTACTATGTGCCGTGGTCCTGCCTTCTGGATTCAAGCAGCATGTTAGTGTGTTTAGGCCCAGGTGTGGGGGCACGTGCCTGTCATCCCAGCACACAAAAGGCTGAGGCAGAAGGATCATGCAAGTTCAGGGCCAGCAAGTACAGTCTAAAAGCATATTTAAATGGACCCAAAATCCACTTGGAAAATACCAGTCAAGGTCAAAGGGTACACAGTGGGTGAAAACTAGCAGAGCTCTCTGTTTTCTTCCTTATTGAGAACAGCGGTGTGAGGGCAGGGCTCGAGGCCTGGACACGTGTGGAGAGCAGTTTGCCAGGTTCCTCCGTATGCACCTGCGAGGCCACCACAGTCACAGTCAGGGCTCTCTGTGAGAACAGGAGAAAGGGCCCTTGGAGACCCTGCCCCTTCCCATAGCTGCAGGATGAGACCTGAGGGGGAGCAGAGAGCAGAGACCCTCAGCAACTGGGCTCGCAGACGGGTTACTGTTCAGTCTGCTGTCCTGCAGGGACCTCCCTGGGCTCCACTTTCTGCTGGGACAGCATCCCCCTGGCCTTCTGTGTGGGCAGGCCAATGGCCGCAGCCCGTGTCCCTCCTGGGTCTCTGCAGTAGTCCCTACAGAGGCACCGCTGTTTCCTTGGCAGCCAGGCAACACTGCTGAGCCCCGATCAGGGTCCCAGTACCACCAGACCTGTGGGCACAGGGCACAGGCCCCACTGGGGAGCACTGGGGAGCCACTGCAGCAGAATGGGCAGTGGGTCCCTTGAGCCCTGTGCTCACTTGAGAGCAGGAATGTCCTCCCAGGGGAGCTCAGGGGCTGCACACACAGCTCTAGCTCTGGCCACCGGACCACATGGGCTCCCTGGAGTTCAGTGGCTCACACGGCTGGCCCCAGAGGCAGTGCAAGCAGAGGGAGGATTGTCAACTATCGCCACACTGCACCTTCCGGGCCCATCTCCAGGGTGGTGGGCAGCACCTCCCTCTGCAGCAGCCCTGTTAGCAGGACAAGGGCCAGAAGCGAGGTTCCAGGGTCCAGAGAAAGATGTCAGGCCTTTGTCCCTCCTGCCTGCCATATGTCGCCTGCCTGGTACCTTCCCAGAGTCCCTCCCCCAGGGGCTGAATGCAAACCCCAGACTGGGGAGGTTCCTGTAGCCCTTCCGGGGTGCAGAGCAATAGGGCACAGGCCTGCTTCTACTGGGTTCACCATTCCTAACTAGGCCCTTGGAGGAAAGTGTTGCACAGCAGAGGTACCAAGCACTGCAGGCTCTACCATGTTACTTGGGGCACCCCGAGAGGAGTCCAGTGTCTGAATCAACAGGCTGTGGCTTCCCCAGGCCTGGGGCAGCAAGGCACATCAACTTAGAGGGGTTTCAGAGGCCAACTTAGAAGGGTGTGGACAGCCTTTCTGAGGAGTCCACAGAGTGCTGAGGGTGTTGGGCCTTAGAGGCAAGAAACCCCTCTGCCTTGCTCCTCTGACAGCTAGGGATGGGTGAGTGCAGGCGGGGTAGCAGTCAGGACCCTGGGAAGGGCAGGCATGTTGCCGTGTTCCGCTGGCCCCTGCTGTTGCTGTCATGGCTTGGGGTACTAGTGGAGTAGACTTGGCAGCCTCACCCCTGAGGCGCAGCGCCCACTCCCAGGCCAGGTCTGAGCCCTGCACTGCCCCTAGTGCCATCGTGGGGTCCCTGCTTCCTTTGCACAGTTCCCAGTACAGCTGGCTGGCAGTAGGTTTAAGGAGGGTGCCAACCCAGCCTATAAGCCTATGGCAGGCCTGCAAAGTGCTCAGGCTCTAGGGAGGACAGACCTAGGTCACGTGCAGCAGCCACTGCCAAGGGCCCTCGCCCCCATGAGCCCCAGTCCTTCCCCAGGGACTCTGTCCGACCCTGCATGAGTGTGCACAGGGCTCAGTTAATGGTTGGTGCCCTTTTGTTTTATTTTCTAGCTCCTCCCAGCTTTGCAAGAACTGCCCCAAGCACCCACCAGCCCGTCCTTGCCCCCCTGTGGCTGCTTGAGTTTCAGTGCCCAGGAGGTGCCCACTGCCTCCCAAGGCCTGCTCAAAGTCTTCCAGAGACAGTTGCCCCTGGAGGACCTCGGACCCAAGGGGGTAAGTCCCAGGCACTGGCACTCTACCAAGGGGAGGGCTCCAGCTGGCCTCTGGGTTACTGCTTTTGTGCCCACCGTGGGCACTGCCCTCCTGGGCCTGCACTGGCTGTTAAGGGCAGCCTAGGCTCTCTGTGGGACTGACCCATCAGTGGGCATTGCTCGTCGTGGGCTCCAGGCTTCAAGGGGTGAAGGTGCGGGCCCTGCTGTCCCTGCCCCATGCGTGGCTACTGGCAGGGCTTTCAGCCCTTGCAGGGAAGCACAGACCGTCACCAGGTCCGCCCTCCGCTTCTAAAACTCTTGGCCCCAAGGTCCCGGTTCCTTCTCCTCAGGCCAAGGAAAAGGCGAAGGAGGAGGCATGGAATGCCCACTTCTTTGAGTATGGGCGTGGCACGTGCATGTACCGCACAGCCCAGACTCGGAAGCTGGTCCTCAAGGGCATCCCCGAGAGTCTGCGGGGAGAGCTCTGGCTGCTGTTCTCTGGTAAGTCAGGCCTGGATGTCCTTCCTCACCCCGAGGCTTCTGTGCCCAGTGGGCGGCAAGCACTTCACAGTCACAGGGTCCCTGTTGTATCCCTCACTACCCTAGCAAGTGCCACCTGCCCATCATCCCCACAAACCAGATGAGGCAGGGATTACAGATCCAGGGCTCATCTGAGTGCTGTGGTGAGACACTGTCTCAAAGTGATACAACAAAACAAAGGGCAGGGCCTGGTAGAAAAGATAAGAAGGAAGGTCTTGGCTGTCTGCAGAGGACCCAAAGCCATGGGCAGCGCTCTTCTGCCTCCATGGGTGGGCTCTGAAAGGACAGCATGCACACCTGGGCCCTGGGGGCTTTTCAACGTGCAGGTTCTGGGGCAGCTGGCTGTGACAAGCAGTTAAGGGAAGCTTTGCTCATACCTGTTAGCCCCAGAGTCCACTCGGGAAGCATGCACATCTCCAGCCTGCCCTGTGCTTGCCCCCAGGCACCCAGAGGACAGAGCGCAGAAGCTGCCACCCATCTCTCCCCAGGGGCCTGCAATGAGATGATGACCCACCCCGGATATTATGCTGAGCTGGTGGGGAAGTCCGTGGGGAAGTACAGCCTGGCCACGGAGGAGATCGAGCGAGACCTACACCGCTCCATGCCCGAGCACCCCGCCTTCCAGAACGAGCTGGGCATTGCCGCACTGCGGCGGGTGCTGACAGCCTATGCCTTCCGGAACCCCACCATCGGCTACTGCCAGGTACCAGGGCTCGCGGGCCCAGAAGCCCCCAGGGAACGTCCGGGCCTGGGCCAATGTGGCAGTGATGCATGCTGGGGCCCACCCCATGCCTCAGGAAGGAGGTGAGCACAGAAATCCACTTAGAGGCCATGCTTCTCTCCTACGTCATACTTTGCCTTTCTTCTACATGCTTCTGATGTGAGTCTTAGAAGCACTAGAGAGAGTGTGGGTGTGATTTACCATTTTGACAGTGACTAAGGGTACAGTTCAGAGTGTGAAATACATTCACATTAGGCAGCCGTGACCACACACACCCCACTATCCCTCACTATCCTAAAAAGTGCCACCTGCCCGTCATCCCTGCAAACCAGATGAGGCAGGGATTACAGATCCAGGGCTCATCTAAGTGCTGTGGTGAGACATTGTCTCAAAGTGATCAAAACAAAACAAAGGGCAGGGCCTGGGCCTGCGCTGGCTGGCCCCCACCCACCCACCCAGCCCTGGGTCCTGGCCACAGCCCACAACATCATCATGGCCCAGAGTTCCCCAAGCAGATACCCTCTGTGGAGGTGCCATGGGCTGGTGTCTGTCTCCCGTTTTCTCAGTGCCTTCTGAGCCACTCCAAAAGAGCTGGCTGACCATTTCTTTCAAATTGTTTTCCTGCAAGAGAGAAGCAGGGTGAGGGTGAGGCCAGGATAGGGGAGGCAGCTTCACTTAGGGGCCGTGTGAGCCTCCCCTCGCTGTCTGTACCCGGCAGGCAATGAACATTGTGACATCCGTGCTCCTGCTGTATGGCAGTGAGGAGGAGGCCTTCTGGCTCCTGGTGGCCCTCTGCGAGCGCATGCTTCCGGACTACTACAACACCAGGGTGGTGGGTGAGTGTACCCGGTGCCCACGCGGTGCGGCCCTTCTCACCAAGAGCTGCTCTGGGCTCACAGCCATTTTGCAGCTGCACAAGGTTGCCGGGAAATGATCTCATAGCCAGCACAGCACCTGGAAGGCCGAGACAGGAGGACCACTGAGTCGGGCCAGCCTGGGCTACATAGTGAGTTCAAGGCCTGCCTGGACTATGTAGTGAGACCCAAAAAGAAAAAAAAAAAATCACATCGCTGGTAAGTAGACAGCCAAACACAGGAATTCGCCCCTGTCTGCACCCATAGCCCAGACCCCAGACCTTAGGTGGCTTCCCTGGCATTCCTGAAGTAAGAATTAGAGGATTTTACACTTCACTGGTTTTGGAAAATCAGCCTGGAGACTAAATCACCATCCAACCTTTCCTTGTCATTTTTATATAGAAAATTTTATTTTTTTAAGAGCAGAATATATTTATTGAGAGGAAGAAAGCATTAGTTTGAGAGAAGGACAGACCCAAGTGGGTTGCCCTATATAGAAAATTCTAAACATAAGAATACAATTCGCCCCACATACCTGCTGCCCAGCTTCAGCTCATGTGAGCTCCCATGCAGAGAAGTCTGTGTCAACAGGTAGACAAGGACCTTCCCATGCTGCTCGCTGCGCAGCCACGTGTGCCGGTTACTTGGCATCTCCTGTTCTCTTCTAGTTTTTGGAGTCTCCTAAGGTCCTTTAGATGTGCATCTGTTGACAAGCAGTAGAACAGAACTCAGTGGGACCACCATTCAGTTCTGAGGCTGTTAGGGAAGAAATCTGTGCTTCCCCGAGGAGATCCCTGGGATTCAGCAAGCACGGGCCAGAAACCCTTGGGGCAGCATCACCTCGGTACTGAGTGCGCGCACACTTTTCTTTGTCTGGATTCTTTAAACAGCCCAGTATAAAATGACTGCTAACATAGTGTTCGTGTGGTGTCACCACGCATCATCTAGAGATGGTTTTAGGTGTCAGGAGGGTATCACAGGGTCCGTACCCAAGCTTGGCTGTCCTACACTGAAGACTCAGGCCTGTGGGTTTGGAATTGGTATTGGGGGTCCTGAGGTGGGTCCCCAGTGGAATCAGTCTGCTTGCAAGTACAGAGCTGCAGGGTGCACTGCTGGGTCTCGTGCTTTCTCTGTGCTCCCTCTACGCACAGATATGGTGGGGCTGGGCTGGCCAGGGCCCAGGCTGCACTCATCACAGGGCCACTTGCAGGCCTGGGCACGCACCGCGTTCCTCCAGGCTTCTGCCTCTCCCGCAGGAGCCCTGGTGGACCAAGGTATCTTCGAAGAGCTCACAAGGGAGTTCCTTCCCCGGCTCTCAGAGAAGATGCAGGACCTGGGGGTGATTGCCACTATCTCGCTGTCCTGGTTCCTGACCCTCTTCCTCAGCGTCATGCCCTTCGAAAGCGCTGTGGTCATCGTTGACTGCTTCTTCTACGAGGGCATCAAGGTGATCTTGCAAGTAGCCTTGGCTGTCCTGGACGCCAACATGGAGCAGCTGCTGGACTGCAGCGATGAGGGCGAGGCCATGACCGTGCTGGGCAGGTGAACATGCGGGGCTCCTCCTTCCCAGAAGCTGGCAGCAGAAGCCCACCCCTGCACGGCCTGGGCACATCAGTCAGCACTAGCAGCTGTGCCCACCAGTGCCAGGCCACACCGGGCAGGAGGAGCCTGGTCCCCACTGGCTCCTCCAGCAGGAGATTTTCTTCCCTAGTGAGACCCAAGCTGCGCTTGGCGAGTGATCCTGCAGGGAGGAAACCAGATAGGGAGATGGGCTTGAGCTGGGCTATTGGCCAGCAGCGTGCAGTCAGGAGCTTTCTTGGGGGGAGACCCAGTGATTCCCACGATGCCTCTCAGCCAGAGTCCAGCAGGGTGCCTGTGGTTTGCACAGCACTGTCTTCATTGTGCTCCTGAGCTCCCACACCGCTGCTTCCCCTACCTGTGTAGAGCAGCCCACCTGTGCCTGCTCCAAAGAGTAGCTCGTGGCCACTGCAGAATGGGTGCCTTCCTGGTGCCCCCTGCCCCCTGTGCCACCACTTGCAGCTTCCTCTGGGATCTGGGCCCTCCCTGCAGCCTCCCCCTAGCCCCTGACCTAGGCCCACTTCACCATGGTTTTCTCAGCCCCTTTCCCTCACCTGCTTCTCACAAAACTTTCAAACCACATCTGACCGTATCTGACCCTGAACCTCTCCTGGCTGGTGGGGAATGCCCCATGTCACAGCTGGTCCCCTGCACGAGGATGTCGGAGTCCCCAAGTGTGGCCTTTGAGCCTGCTATGCCTCACTGCTTCTGGCCTCACTGTCTATGCCTAGAGTTCCCAGGCTGCTGGCCCTACCTGGTATGCTTGCCCAGCCCAGAGAAGCCACCCAGGGCATCGTGGGACACAACTTCTTCCTCCTGAGCCAGCAGCCCAGGCGAGGGCTTCACACTGCAGGACAGGCCTGTCAGGGTAGCTTCCTCCCTAATGTGAGCAGAGATAGCTCCAGGCTGCTGCAAGACCCTAGTGTTTGTGCCCTGATGGCATGTGACAGGGACCAAGCACACTACCCCTTGAGTGGCAGGCTCAGCACAGAGAGCCCAGGAAGATGTGAAGCCGTGGGGGGCCTGGCCCTAGCTCAGTCCTTTAAGTGGCTGCTTCCACAAAGCTGTCAGCCTCAGGTTGCTGGAGTTCAAACTCACAACTCTCCCGCTGGCCAAAAGTGCCCTGAAGGCATTCGAGGAACAAAAAAAAAAAGATGTGAAGCCTTGACCCCAAGACTGTTCTTGGAGAAGCAGAATCCCCTGAGCCACTCCAAACACTGCCATTGTCCATCCCCCAGTTTCCTGTAGACAGTCCTTCGGTCCTGAGTCTTGCTGGCTAGGGCAGGAGTCCCACATCGAGTCATCCTTCAGCTGGTAGGGCACAGGTGTACAGAATGTTCTTGCCCGTGATACATCCCCACCCCTCAAGGTTAGGCTCAGAGTTAGTGCTCAAGCCCTCTATGGTTGGTGTGCTGGGCTCCTGGTCACACCTTACCTGGTTTGTGCGTCACATCACTGAGGGAGACATTACTGGCCAGCAGGTGACCTGGATTCTGCCCTTCATCCTTCATAGGTACCTGGATAACGTGGTCAACAAACAGAGTATCTCTCCCCCTATCCCACACCTCCATGCCCTGCTGACCAGTGGAGATGACCCTCCTGTAGAGGTGGACATCTTTGACCTCCTGAAGGTGTCCTACGAGGTCAGCACCCGGTGGCACCAGGCCAGGCTTGTGCCTGTAGCAGCCAGACTTGGTCTCACTGACTCCCCTTCACCTGCAGAAGTTCAGCAGTCTGAAGGCTGAAGACATTGAGCAGATGCGGTTTAAGCAGAGACTGAGAGTGATCCAGTCCTTGGAGGACACAGCCAAGCGGAGTGTGGTAGGTGGCTGGCGGGAGGCCGTGTGCCTTGATGGGAGGCTGGCAGAGACAGTGCCCAGGCAGACATGCTGCAGGGCAGCTGTGTTGTGGCCACGATGCAGCACAGGCCAGGCCCAGCTGTGGAGATGCATGGTGACGTCGCGGGAGCTCCCTCCCACACTACTCTGGTCACGTCATGGGAGGCCTTCCCTCCGTTCTGGAGGTTCGGCATTGTTGGGGCAGGGTTCTCCCAGCTTAGCCCTGCCATGTGCTTACTGCCCCTGTGCCCCTACACTTACTCTGGAGGGTCAGGCTCCCTTGCCACCCATGCTGGGACCTCAGAGCTGTGCATTTCCGGCTTCGCCTGCATATTCCCATCCCTTCCCTTCAGCCCACTGAGGGCTCTGCAATAGCAAGCCACAGGAGTGACAGGCTGGCTGAGACTTGACAGGAAGTTAAGCCCTGCTTAAGAGCCAGGGTCTCTGCAGGGATGCGGACAAAGGAGCTAAACGAACATTGCTTCAGCTCAGGGGAGACCCTCAGTGCCGCCCCAGGGCAGCGCATGGTGACAAGTGGCAGGCGAGACAGAGCGTGTATGCCATACCCTCCCGTGGTCCATCCTCTGTGCACTCCTTCAGCAGCCTCTGGTTTCTGCTGCAGCGGGAACTTGAGAATCCGTCGATACAACCCACTTTTCTCTTGTTCTAGGTCCGAGCCATCCCGGGGAATATTGGTTTCTCAATTGAGGAGCTGGAGGACCTTTACATGGTGTTTAAGGTGACAGCCAAGAGCAAAGGCAGAACCAGTGTCCCCTCATCCCCAGAGTGCACCACATTGCAGCCACTTTCTCCCAGAAGGGAGCTGCACAGAGCCTCAGAGGCAGCTGCTAACACTTCTCATGGCAGGCCCGAGTCCTTGAGCTTAGACAGGAACCCATTCACACTGGCCTAGCATAAGAGGGAGTTCACCACTCACCTGAGGTGTGAGGGCTCAGGTGCCCTCAGACTCATGACTCATAGGGCCTCCCCGTGCGACTTCTGCAGAAGGGTGGCCCTGCGACCAGGAGCTCTGAGGTCATCTTATCAGCAACCCCAGCAAAAACCTTTGCTTTCCAAATAGTTCTAGCAAGAGATCCAGGGTTGAAGAGTGGAGTGATTCAAATTAGGTATCCCAGGGCCAGGAACTGCTCAGGAAAGTTTACACACATGCGTGAGAGGCTGCTGACGAGGGGGAGGCTGAAGAGGAGGCAGAGCCAGTCCGCACTGCCTCTCAGTCCTTGCTGCCACCACTGGTCCCTCTTGGGCCTCTACCCCTGGGCGCGTCCCAGGCTGGCCCTAGCTTCTCTACGAGTCCACTGCATAGGGTTCTGTGGATGACTCAGTTGTCCATTCTGGCTGTACAGATGTGGGAGGCAGGGGTGGACAGCCAGCTGTAATGGCCATGTCCCCACAGGCCAAGCACATGGCGAACCAGTACTGGGGCAGCAGCCGCACAGCCGCCAGCCGCCGTGACCCCAGCCTGCCCTTCCTGGAACAGTACCGGATCGGAGCCAGCCACTTCCAGGAGCTCTTCGCCAGCCTCACACCCTGGGCCTGTGGCTCCCACACACCTGTGCTAGCGGGTCGAATGTTCCGACTCCTGGACCAAAACAAGGACTTGCTGATCAACTTCAAGGAGTTCGTGACAGGAATGAGTGAGTGCAGCAGGGACCCAGCCCTCCGCCCAAGTCACTTTCTTGCTGCTACACCAGAGGACAGCCTAGATCCCTAGCCCTTAACCGTCAACAAGGTGAGCAGCAAGGAGCTGGCACCCTGGGCCCTGCTTGCCCTCCCTCCTGCAGCCCCAGAGAGGGCAGAACAAGCCTGGCAGGGACCTCTCCAGGAGGGAGCCCACCTGCCCAGCTGGAACCCTAGAGAGGAGGTGTGGGCTGTGGGTATGCAGTGTGACTCAGAACTCCTTCCAGCGCCCCCCATGGTTGGCCCTACAGGTATGATGTACCACGGAGACCTCACAGAGAAGCTCAAGGTGCTCTACAAGCTTCACCTTCCCCCAGGTGAGAGCCTTCACCAGGAGTTCAGGATGCAGTTGGACACAAGTACCTGTGGAGCCCCTGGTCCCACAGTAGGGCAGAGGAGGGAGTCAGCATGAGGCTAGGACCCAGACTGGCTGTAGCCCTATAGGGCCATGACAGGAGGACTTGGAAGAAGTCTCCTCTGTGGGAACAGGGCACCTAAGATCCTTGAGGGGGTAGAAGTGCGTGGTTGAACTGAGACCTAGGCGTTCATCAGTTCCCAGAGGGTCAGCCTGGGGACTCAGCCCCCCACAGTGCTGCCCAAGGCCACAAGGAGGGGACAAGTCCTCTGTCCTCTGGAGGTAGTGCTGCAGCCTAAGGGGGCCGCATGGGGCTCAAGCAAAACAGCTCCTGTGGGCAGCTGACAGTAGCCAATGTGAAGCCTCAGAGAGCCAGGCAGGCTCTGTGGCCATAGGGTCCATGTGTGTGGCCGCAGCCCACTGAGCTCTGAGAAGGGCTTCTGCCTATTTTCTTGGGAGGAAACTGACTCAGGACAGTGAATATGCGGTCCTAGAACACTGTTTCAGTTGGGGACTGCCCCCTCCCCAGTGCTGTCCTCAACCTGCCCTGGGAGTGGCCCCAGTTGGCCTAGCCCCCAGTGATTTTTGGAACCCTGTGGTTGGCTGTGTCCCCAGAGCCTTTCACCTAACTATAGGGTGGGGGTAAAGCTGCCCAGGCTATAGTCTGCCACCAGAGAGGGAAAGGCTCTTGGCACTGAAGACTGTTGGCTGGCACCGCCTCAGACACCCAGGCTGGACCCAAGGCCAAAGCCTCACGGGGCTCTTCCACCTCGGCCACCACCTGGACCTGTCTTCTGCACCTAAGACACCATGTGGGTTCTGGTGGACATCAGCCACGCCCTCGACTGCCCCCTGCCATTGTGCGTCCCTCTCCGCACACCAGGAAGACGTGCACACAGACACCACCATCTGCATCTGCAGTCCCCAGTAGTGCTGAGTCACAAGAGCTCAGGAGAATGAGGCAGGCCCTGTGTAGCAGAGGGGAGCCACTCCGAGAGGTTCCGGCATGAAGAAAGCAAGCCCTTGCATGTGGCTTGTGTGCGCCAGCCTGTGCAAGAAATGCACCTGAGCAGCAGCATCTGCTGAATGGGATCAGGAGGGCAGAGGACAGTGAGCTTCATCCGCCACCCAGCTGCCCTGATCAAGTTCCTGCCTGGCAGATGTCCCATGTTTCCAAACGCTTAAGAGCTGGGGCACAGCTCTGGTGGAGCTCTCAGCACACACGCGGCCCTGGATTTGATCCCCAAGCACCCCCAAAAATCAATGTCAGAGACAAATGACTAGAAGTAATTATTGCCCTTAAAAAACTACTTCCCAGGCACAAGGCCAGGTATAGTAGTGCACACCTATGATCCCAGCACTCAGGAGGCTGAGGCAGGAGGATCACTAAGTTCAAGGCCAGCCTGTTAACTCAAAACCCAAAACTGTCAGGCATTAGGAGCATTGGGCGTGGGAACTGGTTTGGGCACACAGTGGGGAGGTGAGGCCTTCATACAGGCCTACAGGAGGTAGGAGCTCATTGAAAATCATGTCTTCCCTCACTTCTCTCCAAATGCAGCTCTGAGCCCCGAGGAAGCTGAGTCAGCCCTGGAGGCCACCCATTACTTCACAGAGGATAGCTCCTCAGAAGGTGAGCCCCTGTGGGGATGCCGAGGCCACCACCATGGCCGTGCAGCCACCACAGCCCTCTGGGGCCCTGCAGTGGCCACACCACACTGGGCTGCTCTGGGCCCATTGCTTACAGTGTCCTCAACTCCTGTTTCTCTCACATCTCTGTCTCCCTGGACTTGGCTCCTCCTCCCTCTGCCTTCCATGCCTCTTCCACTGTCTCCAGCATCTCCTCTGACTTCAGATCCGGATCTTTTCCCACCCTGGGAAGTGCAAGGTCAGTCCCTAGAGGTCAGGGCACCCCCTTGGCCTCTGGGCTTCATCTTCTGACACTCGATACCAGGGCCCTTTTCTCTGGGACCCTTCCAGGATCCCATCCTGTGGAACGGGTCTAGGAAAGGGGCAGCCTCTAGGCCTTTCATGGCTGGCCCACAAATGCGGATGGGCAGCACACAGGGCCACAGGCAGAATGCATGCTCATAGCAAAGACATACCACATACTGTCACTGCAGCCATGTGAAGAAAGGCAGCGGGCGAGTGGAGATGGATGCTCCCCTCAGGAAATGCCCATGTTCCACCTTAGTTTTCCTTAGAAAAGTGTATGTTGAGTGCCTGTTGGAACTCACCCTTGTGCTGCATTTCGTGCAGCGCAAGGGACGCACAGTCCCTGGGGCTTGCCATCAAGCTGGTCACTCTTGTCAAGCTGGCCACAGGTCCTGAGGGTGCAGCTCGGCGTATAGCACTTGCCCAGCTGGCACAGGCCCTGAGTTCAGTCCCCAAGCATCACAGAACAAAACTGATCATAGCACTGCCCTGTAGCTTCACATGGAGGGTGACACATGTCAAGAAACTGACTCAAGGGCCAGCCAGATAGCTCAGCAGACTAAAGCACCTGCTTAGGCAGAACACAGTGGCTGGGGTTCGACTGGAATAGTTCCGACTTGCTGCCTCTGGGGCAAATCATTTGCTTTGTTAAAAAAGTGTGCTGAGGGCTGGTGAGATGGCTCAGTGGTCTAAAGCACCTACTTAGAACAAGCTTAGCAAAGCACAGGGACCAGGGTTCAATCCCCAGCACCACATGCCAGCCGGCCCCGCCCCTTGGTGGGCTGAGCTGGCCACACACACACACACACACACACACACACACAAATAAAATTAAAAAAAAAAAAAGTGTGCTGAGACTTGTATTCTTTGGAAAAACAGAAGTGAGTATTCTGTAGTCCTTTATGAGACCCAGAGCTTCAAGTGTGTGATGCATCCACACTGCCTTAGCACTAGGGTGGGGCTCTGTAAGCTGTGGCCATGGGGAGAAACAAGCAGCCCTCCCCTGCTGTGTTGGCGAGGCAGAACCACTGAGCAGAGCCACGTGGTGTAGGGTCAGAATTCCCTCCATGTTCATTTCCTTTTTTTGGTTGTCTAGAAGCACTACGGCAGGAAGAGCAAGAAGGAAATGAAGAAGTTCAGGGGAAAAAAGGTACAGACCATCTTCCCTCCACAAGCCCCAGAGCTGGGCATGTGGCGCCCTGTGTGCCCCCTCCGCCCCACGTCCTGCCGCAGAGGCCCCAGGCTTGGGGAGATCACAAACATGTCCCAGAAGGGCCACTCCAAAACACAGGGAGCCCAACCCCACCCACCCACCTCCAGGTGCCCAGCTGGTGCTCCCTGCATGCTGTCAGCCCGCACCAGCCACCACTTCAGGGAAGTGGCAGGCTTGGGACCTTAACCCACCAACTTAGACACAGCCCTGGGAAGACCTGGGCCCAGGGCTGTCCTCTCACGAACCTGCCATGTGCTGGTGTGTTCTGTAACAAGACCTAGTATACTGTGTGACACCAGCCTTTCTCCCTGCTGCTGCTCCTAACAGACAGACAGCAGTTAATCTGTATTCCCCCACCTCACAGAGGAGAAGGGGCCCAGCCCTCCAGACTACCGACACTACCTTCGCCTATGGGCCAAGGAGAAGGAGACACGGGAGGAGACCATTAAGGATCTGCCCAAGATGAACCAGGTAGGCGAAGTTCTTGCCTGCACATTTGTGGAGAATTCTGGCCAAGGCTGGGGCCAGGTGCCCAACACTGCAGCAATCTCCTTGGGTGGGAGTTCTCTCCCTTGAGTGCACTCGGCAATGGTTCTAGAAGGCAAGGCTGGTCATGCCCAGCCAAGCCTGTCTGTGTGCACACCTGTGGCGGCTAAGTCAGCGCACACTCCACCTGGGACAAGAGGCACTCGCCATTAGACCAGGACCACCCCCCATTCCTCCCTGGACCCATGCAGATGTGCCACTTGTCATCCCTGCACAGGGGATGGGACCTAGGACTTTGTGCATGGTCAGCAAGTGCTCTACACTGGGCTGCACCCACAACACTCATTTTATGTTGAGATAGGGTCTCACTGTATTATCTAACCTTGAACTGGGAATCCTCTTGCCTCAGCCTCCCAAATTGCTGGGGACCAAACCCAGGGCCCTGTGCATGCAAAGCAGAACTACTAAGCCATATCTCAGCCCAAGAAAGGCTCTTTAGACCGCATGCTTTTTTCCGCACTCAAGAGCTGAGGCAGAAAAAAAAAAAAAAAAAAAGAGCTGAGGCAGGACGATCATTGTGAGTTTGAGGCCAGCCTGGGTTACACAGTGAGACCGTTTCTAAGAGCTATGTGGGGGGCTGGGGAGATGGCTCAGTAGAATAAGTGCTTGCCTGGCAAGCACAAGGGTCTGAGTTCAATCCCCGGTTCCACCAAACAAACAAAAAACCCCACCAAACACTAAGAGCTATGTGGGATTGATCAGTCATTTTCCCATTCTGAGCCACATCGTTCTAACCTGTGAACCAGCAATGGTAAAGCACAGGTTTGGGGAGCAACAGCCCAGCATTGGGCAGAGCAGCCTGTGTCCTCTGCACAGTGAGCTTGGAGCACAATGACTCGCCTGTTGCCATCCCATTCTCTCTGTTTGTTTCCCAAAGGAACAGTTCATCGAACTGTGCAAGACCCTTTACAATATGTTTAGTGAGGACCCCCTGGAGCAGGAGCTGTACCACGCCATTGCCACAGTGGCCAGCCTCCTCCTGCGCATCGGTGAGGTGGGGAAGAAGTTTGCAGCCCGCGAGGTCAGGAAGCCCAGGAATGGGGCTTACTCCAGGGACCACAGCGGTGCCACTGAGGAGGACGAGCCACCAATGCCTGAACCCGAGCAGGACCCCACATGGGTGCTTCAGCCCCCCGATGCGGGGGACACACAAGCCAAAGCTGCTGGGGACAGCCATGTGGGCAAAGCAGCCCAGGGAAGGCAGGCAGTGGTGGAGGGGGGCAGTGGCGAGGGCCAGGGCTCGCCCTGCCAGCTGCTGTCTGATGATGAAACCAAAGACGATGTGTCCGTGTCCTCCTACTCAGTAGTCAGCACAGGCTCCCTGCAGTGTGAGGACCTCACAGATGACACAGTGCTGGTGGGTGGGGAGGCCAACAGCCCCACAGCCTCCTCACGCGCTGGGGGCACTGTGGACATGGACTGGTGCATCTCCTTTGAGCAGATCCTGGCCTCTGTCCTGACGGAGTCTGTGCTGGTGAACTTCTTTGAGAAGAGGGTGGACATTGGTGCCAAGATGAACGAGCAAAAGAAGGTGGAGAGGCAGTTCAGCAGTGCCAGTGACCACGAGCAGCCAGAGATTTCGGGCTCCAGCTGAGGCCTTGCCTGTCCCTCTGCCCTCTCCTCTCCTCAGAGACATCCTCTCCCATCTTCTCCAGGCAGAGTCACCAACAGAAGAGGGTGGCACAGACCCAGCCACCTCAGAAGGGTGCCCTGCACCTGCATCTCAGCCCACAAACAGGCAGCTGTGCCGCCTTCCTGTTTGCACTGGGGACTCACCCTGAGCCCAGGCACTGCCAACTTAGAGGTTCCTGTCTGTCCCTGCTTGTCTCACACCTCTGCACCACACCCTGTGCTGAGGCTGTGGATGCTCTCCAGACAGCTGTGTAACCCAGGTCCCGCTGCTGCCACCTGGTACCAGGCGGGGGCTAGTGCTTGTGAGCTCCAAAGTGTGGAACTTCAGCTGTTCACAGGAGCCTTTAGGCGTGAGCCGCCTGAGAAACAGGCAGAAGACATCTCTGCCCAGCTGTGCCTAGACTGCCACTAGGTTACACGTGCTTTGGCTCCTCCTCACCATGACACATTTGGAGGGCACACCCTCAGGTCCTGATCTGTTGTCTCCTATTCATTTCAGTTGACTAAATATCACATTGAATGCCTTAATAAATCCCTGGAAGAAATAAAAACCACGCTGCAAGGCCTTGCTGTGGTCCTTGCCCAATGGTTAGGCCTCATAGCTATGCCCCAGACCCAGCACATCCCCAGGTCCCCACAAGATAGGTGACCACTTAAGTCAGCCTGGGCAACTCCGCAGGACCATCTCAAAGTACACACAAAGGTGAGGCTCCATTTCAAATACTGAAGAAAAGGCTCCCTTGGGTAGAAACTTAAGTGGAGACAGGGATGGGAGGGGTTCTTGCTGATTGCAGGCCACAGTGAGGAGCATGGTGACTGCGGGGGGGGGGGGGCTTTGAGAACTGAAGCTGAGAGGGCAGAGTAAGGGTCTTCGTCAGATACGGGGGGGGGGACGACAGTTCTTGCTAAACAGTTGGCAGAATTCCTTGCTAAGACAAGATTTTTACGAAGTAGTCCATAAATGGGCCAAAGGGTCCTTTTTTTGTATGTATTTGGTATAGGGTCTCACTACACAGCTCAGACTCCTGGTGATCCTCCTGTTTTCAGCCTCCCCAGCGCTGGGATTACAGGCGTGGTGCTGCGGGCGCAGTGCGCCTGGCGGGCAGGCACTTAGTCCGCTGAGCTACCTTCCCGGCCCAGGAGGGCCACTGTGAACAGGCTCCAGCATCTTTATCTCAGGCTCTGTAATGGCCCAGCATAACGAATGCTCCACTGTCTTCTCCTGGCCAGGCTTGGCGTCCTCCCGCCGCCGCCACCGCCTCAGGAGTGCAGCCGCCCTTCAGGACCTTTCCTTTGGCCTGCTGGGCTTCAGTGGTCACCAGCCAACACGCTCTCTGGGTGCCACGCACAGCGCAAGCCCGTCGGTTCTCCGCCACGTTTACTGCTTCCGTCCCTCACAGCGTCCCGCAAGCCGGACACCTTCGCACCTTCGCACCCTCGCACGAGGCGGCCGGCGGGCTCTGCTCGGCACCTTCGCAGCAGCTGCCCGGGCCGCGGCGGGCCCAGTGGTCCCTGCGGCTCCCACCCCCTGAGCTGCCTCTGGTTTCCTGGGTTTCGTGGCTCTCTCGGCCTACACGCTCCAGGGCCGGGTGCGAGGGGCGAAGCAGCAAGCGCAGGCCGCGGGCGCGCGACAGACGCCCACAGCAAAGCTGACTCCGCGGCTGCGCGAGGAACGCCGTCACTCAGCGGGAGGGGCCGCGGAGACGAGCAGCACGCTGGAGCGCCCTGAGAGCGCGCGCAGGGGCGGGGCCGGGGAGGGGTAGGCCCGCCTATGAGCGAGGCGATGCTGGGGCCTGGCGCGGCGTGCGCAGTGCGGGGCGGGGGGGCTGGGCCGGAGGGAGCGCGCGCAGGGGCGGGGCCGGGGAGGGGTAGGCCCGCCTATGAGCGAGGCGACGCTGGGGCCTAGCGCGGCCTGCGCGTGCGCAGTGCGGGGCGGGGGGGGTTGGGCCGAAGTGAGCGCGCGCGCGAGCGTGCGCGGCCGCCGGAGCGCCTACAGGCCTTGGAGCCCGTGAGGCGGAGCCGAGCTGAACCGGAGTGTGAGGCGCACCCTGTCGGGAAACTGGCATGGCGCCGCCCCAGCGGTCTCGGGTCCTTCGGTGCTGCAGCTGCCGCCTCTTCCAGGCGCATCAGGTGGGGCCCGAAATAGAGTCAGCGACCTTCCTGAAGTCTGGGCTTCTGCTGGCCCACGTCTTGTTCCCGGGCTTTTTGTACTCCTTAAACTTGGCTGTTGCAGAAACCAGAGGTAATGGTTCCTGCCCAGACGGTCTCTCGAGACTCTGCTGGGAGCACAGCACCCTTCAGGAAATCCCCAGAGTGCCCCGTTTTCAGTTTAAGTTCAAGGTAGAGGACTGTTCGCGAAGCTAACACTAGAGGAGGAGCGCCGAGGCGGCATCCCGACCCAGCCCCTGAGCGTTGTGGCTTGTTGGATTGGTACCGGGAATCAGACTCACGACCTTACACTCGCCAGGCAGGTACCTGTGCCGCTCAGCTGTATCCCCGGCCAGCCTGCAGCGTTCTTAAACTAGATAGATACCTTTTGGCTTTCTGCTTTTGCTTTTTTTGGTGCTGGGGATTGAACTCCAGGACCTAGCATATGGTAGGATAATTGATAATTCTAAGGCCTGTTAACCTGACTTGCGACGTTTGAGGTAGATGTCACGAACCTAGTCTAAATTTTATGCTGCTTGCTGTTACTTTTCTAGCAGTCAAGGAGAGAGGGTGTGTCAAGCCTCTTCTGATAGTTCCCTCTACTACTTGCTATGACCTAAGAAAGAAGAGCATCAAGTTCATTTAAGTGTTCCTTAAGTTGCTAGGTGTGCGGCGGGCGTGGTGGTGCACTCCTATGATTCCAGCACCCAGCCCTCGGGAGGCTGGAGGATCCCTGAGAGTTCAAGGCCAGCCTGAACTGCTTAACGTGACCCTTCTCAAAAAGACAAGAAAAGATGCCAAGTGTGCATGTGTAAGCTTGCGTTCAGTGCTGAGGGTTTGAAGGAGCTTGGAAACATTTTACTTAGTTCTTTTTTGGTACTGTATTCTAAGAATTTGGAAAAATTGGAAGTCCTTTATATTTGGTAGTTTTCGACTCTTAAAGGTGATTTGAAATAGAAGAGGAAGTTAGGGCAGGTGTGCCCTATAGTTTGATACCTCTCATCTCTCATTTAGTTTTGTGGGGTTTTTTTTTTTTTTTTTTTTTTTGAGTAAAGGTCTCACTATGCAGCTCAGGCTGGCCTTGGGCTCACTTTGTAGCCCAGGCTAGTCTCAAACACAACAATCCTCCTGCCTCAGCCTCCCAAGTGCTGGGGTTACAGGCGTGTGCTCATTTAGTTTCAACAACCTCTGACTTGGGTATCATTCCTGTTATGGTTTGTGTCTGAAGGACACCAGCCTCATTACATCACTGGGGGGAGGCAGCTGAATCTAGAATTTGTGATGGGTTCATTGTCTAGTGCTGGGATTAGGGTGTGAGTACTACAGTGAGGGAGGAAAAGAGGCTTGCTCCTCCCTTTTGCTCTCCTTGCTTTTGCTGTCTTCTATGTCAGGAACTGTTACACCTCTGCCACATGCCACCCTCTCTTGGATCCAACTGATTAAGGACTGAACTCTACAAACTGTGAGCTAAATAAACCTTTCCTCACCTTTGGGTGTTGGATGTATTGTCTCATCAATGAGAGATAATTACAACAGAGTTGGTACCAGGAGTGTGTCACTGCTGTGATGTTGCCTGGCCATGTGGCTTAGGAATTACTTGGAAAGATTTTGCATGACTGGCTGAAGAGGCAGCTTTGTGCTATAAACTGTATGGGAGACTGGTCAGAGCCTGGAAAACCTGAGTTCTGATGTAAATGCTGCCAGTTAAGATGAAGCTTCAGAGGCTTCTACTGAGAAGGACTTTGCTAGTTCCTGCATCACAGGTGGTGTATGCTGTACTTTGGCACAGAATTGGTCCACATGGTAGAGATATTGCCAGGGTGGAAGAACTTTCAATGCTGTCTGTTATTGAGACAGTGACATGGACGCTGCTGAGAGCTTTTGGACAGCTGTATGTTGGAAATTAAGAGCAAAGAGCCAGCAGACTAATTTGAAGAATTTGGGCACAAGACTCTAATGGAGCCATGAATTGCAAGGATGAAACGGGAGGAGGAGGTTGTTGGAAAAAAAAAACAGGACAATGGAAAATGCCCTGAGTCCTTTCACTAGGAGGGAAGAGAGTATTTGAAATGCATGAGGTCGCTTGGGCTGTTTCTTAGTTTTGAAAGTTAATGGGAAGAAAAGATTGTGATTGTTATCTCTTTAATATCTTAATGTAGCTTTAAGGTTATTAATAATCAGGTTAGTCAAAGTATTGTGCTTTTCACTTTGAATTTTGATCACCCTTTGAATATTTTGCCTTAAGTGCAAAGCATTCAGTGAGACTTGTAAATGTGTAATTGTTATATTACTGTACATCTGAATAGACCAAGACATGTTAACTTTTCACAAATCTGCCACTGGAGAGTGTGGCTTAAGAAGTGTGTCTGGGTATCAAGTTGACCAGGGGTGGATTGCGGTGGATTAACGAATGAGCAACTTGTTACACCCAGCTGAACTGAATCAGACTGGTTCTGAGTATGCCCACCTGAGGATTGTTGCCAACAGCATAAAAGGAAAACTGGTAAGGAAGATGGTGCGCTGTTGATTCTCCTGGAAAAGCTTGTCAGGCTGATTTCCTGATATGAATTGACCTGTTAGAGTCATCAGAGGAGCTTGGAACCTCGCTGTTGCAGAGGATGGCTGGGGTTTTCTTCAGGGGAGCTCCAGTCCTTACCTTGAGCATCACTCCCTGGTTCCAGTGCAGATTCCTCAGCCTGCTGACACAGATACTTCATCCCACTCCTGGAGACTTTCCGGGTTCTGCCTCAGACCTTTGGGCCTTCCCACTGCAGATCCTTGATACAGACTTAAATGAGACGTTGTTCTAGACTATAGGTCTTCAGCTGGATTTGTGCAGGATGTTGTCATGGGGTCCAGGCCCCTGGCTGGATTCTTCCAGTCTCTAGTGTGTGGTCAGATCTCCCACACTCTTGCATTTCACTCTTTAAATGTGTGTCCTGTATTATGTCTTGTCCCTTATAAACCATTACTACAATAATTCCCATCTCCTGAAGTAGAAATACTGAAATTGAGAGAAATACAGTGGTTTTGCAATCTAATAAATGTCAGAGCCAGGACTGTACACTTGCAAAGATCGAATTATGCAGTACTATCACCACTTCCCCCAGATTAATCTGTGACTGATTTTTTTTTT